ATGTTACACTAATAATTTCTTGATATGACTTTCCTTTTCAAGAGACTGCATATCAAAACCAAAAGTCCATTCTGTAGGTTAGCACTTTCCAGTTTATATATTGTTTGTTAAACTTTTCCTGTGTTGGTAAACCCAGCATTTGTTCAAGGATATTTGAAATACCCAGGTGTTTGTAAATGTTGTGCAGCAAACTGGTCCTAACAGCCCATCCTCTATTCTTCTCCACTCCATCACCCCACAAGGACTCAGTGAATCATAACAGATTTTTGTGGTATGGAAGTCTCGTAGAATTCTAGGCATAGCCTGATGGCAGGATTGACAAAATCATTTACATTCTTAGAATGATCCAAATGTTGACTCAGCCCATTTACCTAAGGCATTCCAGGGGTTGGCAGAGGGAAAGAAGAACCCGTGGTATTATTTGTCCTGATACTGAATCCCCTGATGATGGCTGTCGTTCAAAGTATTCCTGGGTTCAGATGTTTTTAAAGAATTCATGGCTGGGCACTGTCACTCACATCTGTAATCCCAGCACTTCGGAAGGCTGAAGTAAGAGGATTGCGTGAGCCCAAGAGTTTGAGACCAGCCTGGTCAACATCAAGACTCTGTCTCTACAAAAATAAAAATTAAAAAACAATGGTTGCTTATCCCAGCCGGGCATGGTGGCTCACGCCTGTAATCCCAACACTTTGGGAGGCTGAGGCGGGTGGATCACCTGAGGTCAGGAGCTCAATACCAGCCTGACCAATATGGTAAAACCCTGTCTTAAAAAAAAAAAAAAAAGAATGGTTGCTTGTCATAGAGTGTTCTGCTTCTTGGAATAGTAAGAGGATTGAGGAAAACAGATATATTATATCTGCCTTTTATTTAGTGCTTCAATTTTAGTACAATTAATTTCCAAATTATGCCATGGTTATTGATGTAAAGATAGACACATAGACCAATGGAGAAGAACAGAGAGTCCAGAAACAGTCCCGTGCATATACAGTGGATCTTGTAGATTTCCACAAAGGCATTATTATGATTCATTGGGAAGAAGATGGTCTTTCAACAAATGGTGCTGAAGTAATTGGATGTCCTTTTAGGGGAGGAAAAATGAACCTTGACCTCTGTCTCACAGCACACACAGAAATTAATTCAAGATGGAGCAAATGCGAAAGGTAAAACCATAAAGCTTATAGAAGAAAACAGGCGATCTTCATAGCCTTGGGCTAGGCAAAAAAATTTCTTAAACAGGACACAAAAAGTACTAACCATAGAAAAGAAAACTTGATAAATTGGACTATATTAAAACTAAGAACATCTGTTTAAAATACCATGGGAAAAATCCATAGCATGTCTTCAAGATCTCTGGCAGAACATCAGGCTGGAATTCACCCATTAGCGCTCCAGAATCTGCCCCCTGCCCAAGACTGATTACCCTGCTACCTGTACTGGCAACAGGGAGACGAACGCAGGTTAAAGTCAGTAGGTTTTGGCAGGACTGAGGCCCTCTGATCCTCACAATAAAATCATCTTGCATTCCTTGTATGGGTTGGATATGTGAGAAGCAGCTTTGTTCCCGAGCCCCACCAAATCTCTGAACACTGGTGTGTTCTTCTCAGAACAATCCTTTGAGATCCCCTGAGCTTTGAAGTCCTCCTGCCAAGTCTGTGTGTGGGAAGGAGAACAGAGCAGCGTGAGGGCCCTCAGAGAGGTGGGCGAAGACAGTTCAAAGCCCAGCCAGATCCGGCTCTGTGATGGCCAAGCCCTTGGGGTCCCAGAGCCCTAGAGGAAGGCTGGGATAGGGTGAGGCCCAACCCTTTGCAGGGTTCTGCATTGCTGCATCCAGACTAGGAAATGTCTGAGACAAAGCTGGAAACATAAATACTGCACCCTTACGCTCACCACATTTTCATATTTGCAGCAGAGGAGCCAAGCCCCCTGGCCAGGATATATGCTTCCTTTTCAGACCTATGGTTTGGAGGGAAGGAAGCATGAAATGTATTTAGAGCTTTCCAAACTTTGATTGTTTTGCACATTCCTACAAAGGGAAAAAATAAAAATATCCCAAAGGATTTTAAAAAATCAGCTTCTAATACTTGAGATGAGTGGGAAAATCTTGCATACTGGGGTCATTTCCTTTCTATTTCAATAAATTAATACTGTGCTGGAAATAGTCTGTTGCAAAAGGGGAGACTCATGTCCTTTGAATGCTGATTATGCCAGAAACTTTCCAGTCCTAAGGAGAGGTTGTCCCTTTCCCAGGACTCTGATGCAAGATGACCCTGCAGTTCACTATTTTGCTAGGATAGGAGACCCAAGTCAACAGAGATTTAAAATTCAGAAGGGATCATTAACTCATTCATTCAAGAAACCATGCTGAGCATGGAATAAGGGCCAGGTTAGGTTCTGGAGTCTCACACTGACCCGCATGAGGAACCCAGGCTACCAGCTCCCATGATCCCTGCTCTGCAGATGGTCCCAAGTCTTTCTAAAGGCCCCTGGTGACTAAGCCCTGGCATTCAGACTTAGCAGAAATGGCATACTAATTGCCAGTAAATAAAAAGTAGGTGTTTGGCCGGGCGCAGTGGCTCACGCCTGTAATCCCAGCAGTTTTGGGAGGCGAGGTGGGCAGATCACTTGAGTCTAGGAGTTTGAGGCCAGCCTGGCCAACACGGTGAAACCCCATCTCTACTAAAAATACAAAACATTAGCTGGGCATAGTGGTGGGTGCCAGTAATCCCAGCTACTTGGGAGACTGAGGCAGAAGAATCCCTTGAACCTAGGAGGCAGAAGTTGCAGTGAGCCAAGATTGCGCCACTGCCCTCCAGCCCAGTTGACAGAGTGAGACTCCATCTCAAAAAAAATAAAAAGTAGGTGTGTTCATCTCTACTGTAGATACTGGGAAGCCAGGCTGCCAGGGGACAGGCGCAGTTGATAAGTGCCCACTCCCTCAATATCTGTTGGCTTCCACAGTGTTGTGTTTCGGAGCCGAAGCAGAAATCACCCAGGGGGGTTGCTTGCATCAGCTCCGGAAATTGTGCAAAGGATTAAAGTTCTGAGACTTTCCCATAGTATCTCATTCAGGCCTCAGTCTCTCTCAGTTGATTAGAGCAGGAATCAGCAAATTTCTTCATAAAAGGCCAGAGACAGTGAATATTTCAGACCATACAGCCTCAGCCGCAACTGCTCTAGCAGCTGGAGACAGCAGGAAACAAGTGTGGCTGTGTTCCAGCAGAACTTTATTTTATGGACATTTCCTTACAGTTTTCACACATCATGAAATATCCATCTTTTAATTTTTTTTTTTTTCCGTTTAAAAATGTAGGCCAGGAGCAGTGGCTCACACCTGTAATCCCAACATTTTGGGGAGCCAAGGCGAGCAGATAGCTTGAGCTCAGGGGTTCAAGACCAACATGGCAAAACCCTGTCTCTACTGAAAATACAAAAATTAGCTGGGCATGGTGGCATCTACTTGTAGTCCCAGCTACTTGGGAGGCTGAGGCATGGGAATCGCTTGAGCTTGAACCCGGGAGGCGGAAGATGCTGTGAGCCAAGGTCACGCCACTGCACTCCAGCCTGAGCAAGAGTAAGACCTTGTCTCAAAGAAATAAAAATTTCTTTAATAAAAAAAAAGTAAAATGCAACACCATTCTTAGCTCACAGGCCATCCAAAAACAGATGGCAGGCCAGATTTGGTCCAAGGGCCATGGTTAGCTAACCCAGGACCAGAGAATCATACCACTTTCATAGCAAAAAGGATACACATGGTTTGTGTTGATGCTGAGTAGGGACCTTCTCCGGAGAGTACCATGATACAGAAGGTGGGGGGTGTGTTCCCTAATTGGGGGAATGGAGAAGCATCACTCTGGCCTCTCTCAGTGGTCCCATAGCTGCTGACTCTATTTAGGCAGTGGCTCGAGGGTACCCCTGACTTGCCAATGTCTCCTGCCAAAGACCTGGACACTGAAAACTCTGGAAAATGGTCCTCTCCTTGGGGACCCTGGTCACACCCAATAGACCAGTCATTCTTCTTCCTTCTTACCAGCTGCCTCCCCTGACCTCACTGGAAGAAGGACTCTTGCACCACCTTCCTCGACACCCGGGCCTCTTCTGTTCAAAGGTGCCTCGTGGCCAGGCATGGTGACTCAAACACCTGTAATCCCAGCATTTTGGGAGGATGAGGCAGGAGAGTGATTTGAAACTAGGAATTTGAAACTAGCCTGGGCAACATAGCAAGAACCCATGCCTAAAAAAAAATAAAAATTAACTGACGTGGTGGTACACACCTATAGCCCCAGCTACTCAGGAGGCTGAAGTGGAAAGATTGCTGGAACCCAGGAGTTTGAGGCTGCAGTGAGCTATATCAAGCTACTGCACTCCAGAATAGGTGGCAGAATGAGATTCTGTTGCAAAAAAAATTATTAAAAACAAAGATGTCCCTTCCAGTCCCCTAAGGCACGCAGCGCTCCATGTGTTTCTTTCCTTCCCTGCCTCCTCACCTTTTCAATGCTAGGTCCTAAGCTTCTTGAGGCAGAGACTTCCATCTCGTCTGGGTGCTTAGCCCATTTTCAGATAGTCTCTTAGGTTTTTTTTCTTCGTTACCCACGGAGCAGTTGTTTGTTGCCTTTCCAACCCAAAATAGAAATGCTGGTAAACAAAAGAAGAAAAACATCGGGCAGTTTGGAACTAAAATTGCATTATTACTAGAAAAGTCCCAGAAAATAAAAAACAGCTGGTAAATTAGCGCTCATCTAAGCATGGTCTGGGGAAGAAGAAAATTTTAATAACAGATTTTTCTTCCTAATTGTTTTTGTTTGTTTAGATTGATGCATTCCCAAAGTGGACCTTAAAATCATGTTGTGGCCAGAGGAAGCCAGTGTGGTCTTGGCAATTTGCTTCAGATAATCCACCAAGGGGACGGCCTCATAAACATGATTATTATTTTCTTCCTAGGATGCTGACTCATGTGAAGGGCTGTTGAAAAGATGACTTTGGCTTTGTGTCCTCTCCTGCAGGTCCTTCCATAGTGACGCCCCCCAAGGACATCTGGAATGTCACTGGTGCCCAGGTGTACTTGAGCTGTGAAGTCATCGGAATCCCGACCCCTGTCCTTATCTGGAACAAGGTCAGTGGCACAGACTTCAGGAAGATGTCCCAGATGGACATGCTTCTCTTGCACTGCACAAAGATGGTAAAACATTAAATCCTTAGTCTCCTGTGTTCACTGCAGCTCTTCCTAGGTGATGCCTTAGGGCTAAGGTGAAGTACAGGCACCTCCCCTGGATCCAGGGAACAAAAACCAGTCCCTGTCCTGAAAACTGAGAAAGTGGAAGAACAATAATGCTGAACAATAATCCTGAACCCACCTTCGGGGGTGCGTGCACCTGTGGTGTGTATATGTGTGTGCATATGTGGGTATGAGTGTGTGTGTGTGTCCGTGTGTGTGTCCTCAGTGAAGACAGTATAGCCCAGTGGTTAAAAGTGTAAGTTTCTGTCTTTCTGTCCCAAAATACCACCCCCACCACACACACAGCCAGGCTGTTTGTGATGGCACCAGTCTCCTCACTTAAGACTTAACACTTAGCTGATAATTTGTATCCTGTCTGCTGGGAGATATTATTATTATTTTACTGAGAGGAGATGGGAGGCTCGGTTAAGAAGGTGAAAAGCCAGAAGGCTCTGTAGCGTTCTCCTGTGAGCATGGATTGTTTTCTCAGATTCCCTAAGTGCTGGGAGACAGGATGAGTATATTTTAGGGGCACCGGAAGTACATTGGAAGGAGTCAACCTACTATTCTTCTAAGTACCAAGGCTATGGAACCCTCAGTTAGGGACAGGAGGTCACTCCAGAACACGGCATTAAAAAGGAACAAGAGGAAGAATATCAAAGAAAATGTTTTCTTCTTTCTGAATTTTGCTTAATGCTGGCCCCAAGTGGAAAAGCATGATATTATTTTAATAAATCAGCTTTGAAATGACTTCCTAAATGGAAAAAAAGTATGAGGCTGGGTGCAATAGTACATGCCTATAATCCCAGCACTTTGGGAGGCTGAGGCAGGAGTATCACTTGAGCCCAGGAGTTCGAGACCAGCCTGACCAACACAATGAGACTTAGTGCTTACAAATCATTATTTTAATTTAATTAGCCAGGCATAGTAATGCATGCCTGTGGTCCCAGCTACTCAGGAGACTACGTGGCAGAATCCCTTGAGCCGGAAGATGTGATTGCTGGCTGGGTTCTCTGCAAGCCAGGGTTTCTCAGCCAGTTTCAGCCAGTTCTTTGCTGTGAGGGCTGCCTATGCTTTGAAAGATGTTTAGCAGCCTCCCCAGCCTCTGCTCATGATATAACAGTAGCACCCCCCATCCCCACTGTTGTGAGAATTAAAAGCGTCTTCAGACATTGCCAAATGTCCCCTAAGGATGGGGAGCTGGGGAATTGCCCTGGATTGAGAACCATTGCTGTTAGCCTCAGCTCCCTTCTCTACAGTATAAAAGTAGCATGTAATTATCATAAAGATTAAAGTAATGCAAGTAAAAATCACTTGATACATAGTTAGCACTCAGTAGACATTAGCTACTGTTCCTGAAATGTTTCCCTTCAAGTGGCATTATCTTGTATAATTATCTTCATATTTGAAGCACACCATCTTCTCAGCATGGATGGTATGGAGAAGGGAAAAGAAAACACTCATTGCCATCAACTAACACCTCACAATTATACCATACACTTAGGTTTTTGTCCTTTTGTTATTGTTGTCGTTGTTGAGACAGAGTTTTGCTCTTGTCACCCAGGCTGGAGTGCAATGTCATGATCTTGGCTCACCGCAACCTCCGCCTCTCAGTTTCAAGAGATTTTCCTGCCTCCGCCTCCCGAGTAGCTGGGATTACAGGCATGCGCCAACACGACCAGCTAATTTTGTGTTTTAGAGTCGGGGTTTCTCCATGTTGGTCAGGTTGATCTCAGACTCCTGACCTCAGGTCAGGATCCACCTGCCTCGGCCTCCCAGAGTGCTGGGATTACAGGCATGAGCCACCGCGCCATCCATTTTTGTCCTTTTTATACATTTTGAGTTGCTTAGCCTCACAACTATCCTATGACGAAAAAAAATCATAAAACTCATGCTGCCAAAAAAGAAACTTAGTCTAAGTACAGAGGTTTAATCAGACGTCCCTGTTTAGCTGCCTTGCTTCTCCAGCAAGCTCTAAGGTAGATGATGGTCTCTCTTGACTCTCTTTTTGCTCTTTGTGTGATCAGAGGAGCAACTTCTAGAACTCCAGGAAGACTGTGGCGCCCGCAGTCAGACCTCTTTCTGTTGCAAGTTCCACCAGCCCATTTGAAACTAGCCTACGTGAAACAAAAAGGGGGCGGGGTTCAACCTCAAGGGTCCCTGCATCCAGGTACACACACCGTCAGGACTCTTAACTCTTGACTCTTTGCTCTCAATATACTGGTCCCATTTTCTTCTGCTTCAGAAAGCTTCCTCTGCAGTGGGAGATAGCACATCATTACCGCAGCTTAAAGACCCCAGAGGAAAGAAAGGGCTTCCCTTCTCCCTGCCGCATTGTGAAAATCCCACTGAAGAGCTCAAGCCCAGGTCGGGCCACCTGCTAACCTCTGGCTCCCCCTTGCGGCCAGAGGGATGCGGCCACTGACAGTGGCACCTGCGTGAATCCTCCTGGTTTGTGTCAAGTCTGGGAACAGGTACCAGGAAATGCCCGATGTGGGGGTGATGGCAGAAGCAAAGTCATCTATACCATCTATACAGCTGATACTTCTCTTAAAGGAGCAATAAGATTTCACCCCCAATCAATTATATTTTTAAAAGAAAGGTGGAGAAGAGAATTAAGAGCAGAAATGCAGTCCGCGGATGGATTTCCCTCCACCCTTCCTGCAAGAACTACAGGCCTTCCTCACTGCTTATTTGGAGATTGCTGGTTTGCTCAGGGTGTGGAGAGGTAGCGATATCACGTTCTGAGCAATATCCACGAAAACCTCCGTTGCAATTCTCTACAGTTTTCTAGGGATTCTTACACATTGAGAAGCGAGGGTCACCCAAGTGTCCTTGGGCACAGGACCTTATTGGCAAATCTTGGCAAAGATAATTTCAGTGCTTACTGTACCTGACCCCAGCTAAAGTATTCACATACCAGAGGAACACATCTTCCTCGGGAATCTGTTCCCTTTTAGGACTGTACAGGGCAAATCCTAGTAGGCCTCCCTGAGGGCTTGTCCTCAGGGCTATTCAAAAACACCAAAATGGTTGAGGCTGGTGTGGTGGCTTGCCCCTGTAGTCCCTAGCTGCTCGGGAGGCTGAAGTGGGAGGACCGCTTGAGCCCAGGAGGCGGGGCTGCAGTGAGCTGCGATGGCACCACTGCACTCCAGCTGGGTGACACAGCAAGATCCTGTCTGTAAAAACAAAACAAAACCTACCATGTCAATCAAGGAGACGGGTACTGAAGGAGAGAAGTGAAGAGGATATAGGAACTCTTTTTTTCTGCAGACTTTCCAGAACCAGCAAAACCCAGCTGTGACGCTCTGCTTGTTTTCTTCTACCATCATAATGCAATTTGCCACATGTATCACCCAAGGCAATGTTTCTTACACTGTAGACGGTGACCCATCAGCAAGTCCTGGAGCTAATGCAGAGATCACAGTTAGCATGTTCTTATAAAAAATAAAAATAAAAAAATAAGCCGGGCGCGGTGGCTCACGCCTGTAATCCCATCACTTTGGGAAGCCGAGACAGGCGAATCACCTGAGGTCAGAGGTTCGAGAGCAGCCTGACCAACATGGAGAAACCCATCTCTACTAAAAATACAAAATTAGCCAGGCGTGGTGTTGCATGCCTGTAATCCCAGCTACTCGGAGGCTGAGACAGGTGAATCACTTGAACCTGGGAGTACACGGAGGTGATGAGCCAAGATTACACCATGGCTCTCCAGCCTGGGCTACAAGAGCAAAACTCCAACTCAAAATAAAAAATAGAACAGGACCTATGTTAAGGCATCACACTTACCGCTTATGAAGGTGTCATTTCATATAACTTTTGTATATGCCAGATTACAATGTAAAATATATTTCTTAGTTAGGGCCATGTCAAAACTAAGGAAACTTGGGAAGTCACTGACCTAAATAATTAAACAGGGTATTTGTTTACTCATTTCTGTCCTTATAACCAGACTCTTAAGAATACACACAGACATAGGCTGGGTGCGGTGGCTCATGCCTGTAATCCCAGCACTTTTGGGAGGCCAACGTGGGCAGATCACCTGAGGTCAGGAGTTCAAGACCAGCTTGACCAACATGGAGAAACCTTGTCTCTATTAAAAATACAAAATTAGCCAGGTGTGGTGGTGCATGCCTGTAGTTCCAGCTACCTGGGAGGCTGAGGCAGAAGAATCGCTTGAACCTGGGAGGCGGAGATTGCGGTGAGCCAAGATCACGCCACTGCACTCCAACCTGGGTAACAAGAGCAAAACTTGGTCTCAAAAAAAAAAAAAAAATACAGACATACTTACTGTCACTTGCATTTCAAATCCAATTTAAGAGTAGAACACCTTTTTGGATAGGATATTAGGATCCTCACTTGTGAAACAAGAGAAACTGAGGCTAAAGAAGACAGCATGTTTTTCTTGCTCAAGGATGCTTTGCAACAGCAGGATTAATGGCACACGCCTTCTCTCCGTGACACTTGAGGCTGCAGTGGCGATTCTTACAGTTGGCACAGCCTGGTGAGGGCCTTTACTTTCCTTACTGGTAGTTATCCTGCTGGCTTTAACAAGTCCCATATCTTTCAGCTAACACCTAGCCTAGGAAGTTCAAAGGGCAATATTTTGAAACGGGAACATGAACTAAAATAGCCATATTTGACTTAGCCCTTTTAAATCAGAGATGATGCCTACAGAGAAAGCAAAACACCTTCCCAGAACCTGTCTCTGAGACTGAGAGGCTCTCTGTTTGATTTTTTTCTTGCCTGAATATTTCTTCCGATTAGGACTTTCATGACCTCTAAGAATATTTTTTAATTAAAAATAGTGACCTCTAAGGTAATGGTGATAAGGAGAAATTATCCAAAGATGTAGAAAGAAAGAGTTGAGAATCTTCCCCCACCTCCTCCTCCTGCCTTAAGCAACCAACGTCAACTGCCCTGGTTTGTATTTTTCCATACTCTTTTTCATATCCAACCATATTCAAACATATCCCTAAGGTAAAATGAGAATACGGTGTGCCAATAAACTTGCTTTTCTCAACAAATACTTCATGGACATCATCCAAGTCTGCTTCTCAACAGCTATATAAAATTCCAAGTATTTACTAAATCAGTTCTGTATTGATTCTGTTGTTTCCACATTTTTGTCAACTTAATCCTACCTTAAACATCAAAGTACACATATCATACATACTAGTACTTTTATCGCTATAGGATAGATTCCCCAACAGTTATGTGACTAGGTCAAAATATTTGTTTTAATAGACATTGTCAGATTCCTTCCTAAATAGATTGCAGTAAGGAGAGATGCCATTTCTCTGTATCTTTACTAGCACAGAATATTAACCTCTCTTTTTAGTTTTAGTTTCAATTTTAACTAGAAAACACATATTTATCAGCCAGCATGGTGGCTCACACCTGTACTCCCAGCACTTTGGGAGGCCAAGGCGGGAGGATCACTTGAGGTCAGGAGTTCTGAGGTCAAGAGTTCTAGACCAGCCTGGCCAACATGGTGAAACTCTGTCTCTACTAAAAATACAAAAATTAGCCAGGCGTGGTGTCACATGTCTGTAATCCCGGCTACTCGAGAGACTGAGGCAGAATCACTGGAATCCAGGAGGTGGAGGATGCATGAGCCAAGATCGCACCACTGCGCTCTAGCCTGGATGACAAATTGAGACTCTGTCTCAAAAAAAAGGAAAAGAATATACATATTTATCAACACTTAGAATCCCCTTACACAGCCGGGCGCGGTGGCTCAAGCCTGTAATCCCAGCACTTTGGGAGGCCGAGGCGAGTGGATCACGAGGTCGAGAGATCGAGACCATCCTGGTCAACATGGTGAAACCTCGTCTCTACTAAAAAAGTGCAAAAAAAAAATTAGCTGGGCATGGTGACACGTGCCTGTAATCCCAGCTACTCAGGAGGCTGAGGCAGGAGAATTGCCTGAACCCAGGAGGCGGAGGCTGCAGTGAGCCGAGATCGCACCATTGCACTCCAGCCTGGGTAACAAGAGCGAAACTCCGTCTCAAAAAAAAAAAAAAAAAAAAATGAGAGCGGAAAGGATGGTATTAAGTATTGGCCTTGATCCAAAGAAACTGCGTTTCTTCTAAATCTTGACAGGACATACACAGAAACAGCAAGTTTTGTTATTAAAAAAAAAAAAACCATATTTGACAGATGTTTTTCTTTTTTCTTTTTCTTTTCTTTTTTTATTTTTTTGAGAGGGAGTCTCAGTCTGTTGCCCAGGCTGGAATGCAGTGGCGCAATCTCAGCCCACTGTAACCTCCACCTCCCAGGTTCAAGCCCTTCTCCCGCCTCAGCCTCCCGAGTAGCTGGGACTACAAGCACGCACCAACACATCCGGATAATTTTTGTGATTTTAGTAGAGACAGGGTTTTCTCAAACTACTTGGATAGGTGTTTTTGATCTTAGGTCTTCAGTAAAGCATTTGATTAATTCTTAGCCCTAAGAACAAAGTAATGGTATTGGCTTTGGTCTCAGCCTATTTTCCATTTCCTGCTATTGCAGGAAGAGCCCCAAGGTCCCAAGCATCAAACCTAGTACTGGGTGACAGTTCATCAGTTGAACACGGCATGATAGGCAAAAGGCCTGGCACTGAGAAGCAGAATTTCCAAGAGTATGAGTGAGTGATGACGGTGGTGGCCAGTAGCGGGAAATTATGACCATGTATATTCCCCAGACATGCAGAAAAAATACATTAGTTTAAAACATGTAAGCTTAGCAGGAAACTGGCAGGAAGACATAAAAGAGGGTCTTTATTTTACAAGTATTCAGGAAAGGGAAATAGTTGAGTAAATTGCTGGGTTTAATCTATTAGAAAGTCTGACATACACCATATGCAATTGTAGGGATATGACCACTTCCAAGTAGATGATCTGGTATACAAAACTGAGTATCATTCTCTCCTTTTGTTTTTGCAGGTAAAAAGGGGTCACTATGGAGTTCAAAGGACAGAACTCCTGCCTGGTGACCGGGACAACCTGGCCATTCAGACCCGGGGTGGCCCCGAAAAGCATGAAGTAACTGGCTGGGTGCTGGTGAGTACCAGTACCAAGAGCTGGGAAGAGTTTCATTTAGGATTAGACACGAGCACATCTGGCAGAGGTGCCTGATGTACTGCCAGCCTGAAGGTGCTTGCTCTTCCACATCTCTTTGGAATAGCCCTAGCATGCATCAATCAATATGGCAAAATTGCCTTTCATAGCTAAAATCACAGTTCCACAGAGCACTGGTCCTCTTCAGAGAAACTAAAGGAAAAGTGCTTTATTGCATGTTTTGAAAACCACCAATGAATTAACGAGAGCTAACTATTTTTTCCTAAGAGCGCAAAGCAAAATCCTCACACACAGCTACATGGCCCGAGCATTGTTTAACTGATTATCAATTAATACCTTACTTACTTGACCCTTGATATTCATAGAGAATACTTTGATCATGTACCCTATCAGGGCTGCCTTCAAACCGACATCGTGCAGCTATCCAGTTTCTAACCTATGCAATCAGTTGTCGTCCCTGATGGTTCCTCAGATGAATCCTCTCGGCATACCAGATACGGTAGCTATCGAAGTCTCCTAGCACAGGACTGGCCTACTTCTGGCAGTACCTTTGCTATGAATCCCCTGGTCATCTTAGGAAATTTATAAAATAATGACCTAATTGAACTACTGAAAACAGAGAATACAACCACAGAGGAATACGAGATCCTTTTTCTTTCACAGGTATCTCCTCTAAGCAAGGAAGACGCTGGAGAATATGAGTGCCATGCATCCAATTCCCAAGGACAGGCTTCAGCATCAGCAAAAATTACAGTAGTTGATGCCTTACATGAAATACCAGTGCAAAAAGGTATGCAATAAATTTCACAGCCATTTAAAAATGACTAGTACATTTGCTTAACAAGGAACAGAACCAAGTATGAAAGTATCATAGTTACTAATGAAGTTCTGTAGTTAGGAACCCATAAGGGCATTAAGTACGCTATGAAAATGAAGAGCATGAGACTCCAAAAGATTATCTGGATGGGTGACTGAATGTCATTATGACGACTTAGATGCTTTTACCTTATCTAACATGTAAGAGTCAAAACTCAAAACTTGCCTGGGAACGGCTTCTGTTTCCCGTAACTTTCTACCTATCTACTTGGCATTTTCCCTTTGTGTTGGGACTATTACATTAAATTCCCATTTACAAGAAAATGACTGCGGGCAATTCTCGTCCTTCATTTTTAGCTTTTAAAAGAAAGGAGAGTATATTGGCAAATACCCAATTCTGTGCTACCTCCCCTTCCTTCACTTCCAAAAAGCTTCCTCTGAAGAAACCATCCTAAGTGTCACAGCAATGCTACTTTACATTTATATAGTTCTATGAAACTGATGTCTGAATTGGCTTTCCCTGAGACAGAACAAAATTGACTGTCAGCATGTGTCAAACCATTCCACTGTGCAGATCACTCAGCTGTGATATGAAAAGAAACATTAAGAAGCATTTGGTCAGATTCTCTTCAGCCATAATGTATAATGCCAGGCGATGAAACAGAGCAGTAGCTAAGGGTCAAGCCATGCGTTTTGAGTCTTAGCTCTGCTACTAATTATTCCCCTACTTTACATTTTGAAGGAGATCTGGACTACAAAGCAAAGTCTTTAACCTCTCTGAATCTCAACTTGGTTGTTTGTGAAATATGCTCTTCCAGTTCTGTAATAAGATGTACCTTTGATGCATCAACCAGTACGGCAAAATTGCCTTTCATAGCTAAAATCATGTAACTGAAGTTCCACAGAGCACTCCGGCATGTCATTTATACAATTACTCCTATCTTCTTTTCCCCACATTTAACATCTTCATTTATTTGGAAACACTTAACTACCTGACAATTCGAAAGTCAGCCACATCCCTAGATGTAACTAATTTTTATCTTTTTCTTTTTTTAAACAGGTGAAGGTGCTGAGCTATAAACCTCCAGAATATATTAGTCTGCATGGTTAAAAGTAGTCCTGGGTAATTACAATCCCTGTTCTTGCCTAATAAGTTTCTTTTACTCCAATCCACTAACACTTCAGTTATATATTCACTGGTTTTACATAGAGAGATACAAAATAAAGATCACACATCAAGACTATCTACAAAAATTTATTATATATTTACAAAAGAAAAGCATGCATATCATTAAACAAAACACTTTTTATCATAACACAGTAATATTTGTCATTTTTTAAAAGCCACACAATGGAAACAAGACACCAAGATATTTTAAGTATCCTGTTGAGTCTTGTAAAATAGCTAAACACTCATCATTCGTGGTGCAATACTCATAGACATAAGTTCCTGAAACAGTAGTTTGCATGCATAAGGCATTCGCACCAAAGAAATCTGAAAAGAAAAAACAAATAGTAATTAGCAGAACTGTATCGAAGTCACCCCACTTCTCTACCCCAGAAAGGCAAAGATCTGGTACTGCAGATAATAAATGAGTGGAGCTGAGAACGCGCATTCTGCTACCGCGGCTTACGATGGTTCTTTCTCCTAGTATGCTCTGGTATTTTACCCTTCCTGCCAGACATAATTTATATTCACCCACCTCAACTAAAAGGTTTTTAAAACTCATTGTTTAAAATCCCTTGTACAAAGTCTTATTATTTCCAAAAGATGAACAGCTTAAAGAAATTACCACACTAAAACCTAAACTGGTTTTTAGAAACATCAAATTATTTTTTTCTTATTTAAAACTAGAAATCTTACAGAGGCATGCTATCAAAATTGTGAAAATGCTGATCTGTTCTACTACACTAAATCTGCCTGGATAATCAGACCAAAATAGTTTCCTCTAAACAAATATCAACTGCCAGTAAAGTCTATACCCACCTGGGTTTTATTGCGACAACCCCTGCATTCGTATGTATGGGTCCTGGTGTTGGCAATCGCCATGATTCCACAAAGGTTGCAAACATGAACCTGATATGGATCCGATGCCTCAAACAATCTTTCCCTTAAAAACTGGGCTGCTCCATGGGCAATCTGGCAATCTCGTTCCATTTCTCCAAAACGCAGACCACCATCACTGTTAAGAGAAAAAAATTATTACTTTATACTTATTTTTTATTATAAACACTGCCTTGAATAATGGCAAAGGTGAAGAATAATATTTGCAAAGAATGAGAACTAGGCTCTAATTTTTATACCCTACACCCTGGTAGAGGAGAAATCTACCAACTATTTGATGTGCACTAGAAAGTCCCCAAATGGGCTAAACAAAGTGGCTCACGCCTGTAATCCCAGCACTTTGGAAAGCGGAGCTGGGTGGATCTCTTGAGCCCAGGAGTTCAACGTCAGCCTGGGCAACATGGTGAGACCCCCATCTCTATTTTTTAAAAAAAATAAAAATAAAGAAGGTTCCCCAAATGCAGTAGACACATTAGATTCTTAAGTATAGCATTTAGTTTTCCTCATAAGATACAATGAAGTATAAAGCAGAGTGGAGGTTCATCATGCTATCATTTAACTTTCTAAAATTCAACTCTATACCAAAAAATGAATAATAAAAAAGACAATCTAAATAAAGTAGTTTGTCAATGGAATGAGTGTCCCAGGCAATCAGCCTTGAAATCATAAATACATGTTGGCAGAAGTAACAGAAAGAAAGGTAAATAATAGGTTTCCCCAACATAAGAAGTGAAATGCATTATTTGCCAGGCAAATAGACGGTGATGGCTTCCTTAACATACTTAATATCCTAAATATATAAAGTAATACCAATGGGTTTATAATGATACTCCACCAAAACAAATTATGAGTCGACTGTGGACCAATGATTTGGATCATTAGACAACCAACTCATTATTTTGAAAACCGGTAAATAAAGAGAATCAAGCATTTGCCCTTACTTTAGGAACTATGTCACTAGGTAACCAAACAGTTGAGGAAACAGAGTTTTAGAAGTAGTCTGGCTAAAAACTGAAAAAGGAATGAGAAAAAATAGAATCACATCAGTTTGTAATCCCTATTTAATTAAGGTCTTCAAGCAGTGATCATTAATAGCTGCTAAAATCATAAACAGAAAGGCAACCAGATACTGGAAATATAGAATACCACCTATGAAGTATTACTGCTAAAAAACTCAAACCCTAAATCTCAAGCTTCAAGATCTAACTACAAAAAAAAAAAAAAACCAGCAATGCAGAACACTTGGGATACAATCGGCACAACAATTCAGTCTGAAGCCCCAAACACAGTCCAGTGTCTTAAACAAATAAATTACAAGGGAAAAAAAGGTTGGAGGGCAACCAGTGAATTCAAAAAAGGACTTAAGAGATGTATCAGTCAATCACAAAGCATGGACCTTATTTGTATACTGATTAAAACCACAAACCTTTAAAAAACTTATGTGATAATCAGGGAAATGTAAACCTGGACATTTAATATTAAGGAGGTATCGTGGTTAGGTTTATGTCCTAATCTTTTAGGGCAGAGGTTCTCAGAGTGTGGTCTATGGACCTCCAGAGGGTCAAAGCTATTTTTAATAGTAATACAACATGTATTTGCTTCTTTCACTGTGTTTACATTTGCACTGATGGTGAAAACGTAAATAAAACTGCTGGCACCTTAGCAGAAATCAAGATGGTAGAACCAAATGTTAACAGCAGTCATATTCTCCATTCAAGTAAAGGGGAGAAAAGCCAGTTTTACTTAAAAATGTCCTTAATGAAGCAGTGAAAATAGGTGTATTAACTTTGACCCTTGAGTATACATCTCTTTCATATCCTGTGACTTTTGAAAAATGAAAGTCCTCGTGCTCCCTTCTGCAGCACATATACTAAAAATTGGAACGATACAGAGAAGATTAGCATGGCCCCTGCACAAGGATGACACGCAAATTCATGAAGCGTTCCATATAAAAAAAAAAAAAGAAAGAAAAAGAAAAATTAAAGTCCTCAATCAGGTATGATGGCTCACACCTATAATCCCAGCACTTTGGGAGGCCAAGGTGAGAGGATGGACTGAACCCAGGAGTTCAAGACCAGCCTGAGCAACATAGTAAGACCTGGTCTCTGTATAAAAGATAAAATAAAATGGAACATTTCATAAGCAGTTCTGTATAGTTAAGATGACTGTCTTGAACAAAAGCACTTGTATGATTCTGAACTAGTCCCTTTTATCATGGAATATCTTTTTTACTTGAATAGCCAGCTGACACCAACTATGTTAATGCCCAAAATGTTAATTCAGACTTAGAATTAAGTTAATATTGCTGTAGATATTTGGCAGACAAAGAAACGAACAAGAAAAATAAAAGCAAACAAAGCAAGTCTTTTACTCCAAGGAAAATAATTGTAAGTATTTGTTGAAAATGATGAAAATTTTTTAACTTTAGAAAACTTCTATGCACCACTATGGGCTTGATAGCTTCCTGATATATTTAAAGGTTTTTCTAATGACATCGGTAGTGATTTTAAGAAATGCAATTTTTATGAAATGTGTCAACATTTGAAAATCTACATAACTCAGCAAACCAATATTTTCCAAATGACCAATTAGGATGCTACAAAATATGCATGTGTAAAAGATACATGTGAAGCACAAGACAAACTAATGAACTTTAAGCATAAGAAATACAGAAGGTTCATTCACATGGTTTCAGTTTCTACATCGAAACCAACCTTAGAGAAACTACAGCTTACTGTTTTGGCGTAGCATCAAAAAAAAAATCCATAGGCCAGGTGCCTTGGTTCACGCCTGAATGAAATTATCTCAGCATTTTAGGAGGCCAAGGCAGACAGGCCGATCACTTGAGCTCAGGGGTTTGAGAACAGCCGGTAAACATGGTGAAACCCCATCTCTACTAAAAAATATAAAAAATTAGCTGGGCATGGTGGCGAGTACCTGTAGTACCAGCTACTTGAGGCTGAGGTAGGAGGATCACCTGAGGCTGCAGTGAACTGCAGTGTGATTGCACCACCACACTCCAGCCCAGGGAACAGGAGTGAACCTGTCTCCGAAAAAAAAAGGGCCAGGCACAGTGGCTCATGCCTGTAATCTCAGCACTTTGGGAGGCTGAGATGGGTGGATCACTTGCGGTCAAGAGTTCGAGACCAGCTTGGGCAACATGGTGAAACCCTGTCTCTACAAAAAAATTAGCCAAGCATGGTGGTTGGTGCCCACCTGTAATCCCAACTACTCAGGAGGCTGAGGCACAAGAATCCTTGAACTTGGGAGACAGAAGTTGCAGTGAGCCAAGATCGCACCACAGCACTCCAGCCTGGGTGACAGAGCAAGACTCTGTCTCCAAAAAAAAAAAAAAAAAAATCCACAATTACCTGGAAAATCAAAATAGTCCTCTCTTTCCAACCACTTATCTGCATGAAATCTGAGTTTCTTCATAAATATTAAAAAAAAAAAAAAAAAAAAAAAAACTACTACAATGGAATGAATGCAGAAGAAGATAGAAGCATCCAGCTGTCTTCTAGCAAGCCATGTCATTAGAGAGATTCACAAAAATGTAAACCAATGTTGTTATTGTCACTAAATTTATCTGGAAAAATAGACATTCTTCATTAAACACGATTTTGAATTGAGACGGAGTCTTGCTCTGTCACCCAGGCTGGAGTGCAGTGGCATGATAACGGCTCATTACAACCTCTGTCGCCTTGGTTCAAGCAGTTCTCCCACCTCAGCAGCCTCCTGAGTAGCTGGGATTACAGTTGTGAGGCACCACGGCTGGCCGAAACATTTTATTTATGTTAACATGTAATAAGCTTGTTAGTGTTCTTAATGAATTTAAAATCTCAGGTTTAACTTCTAATATGATAATTATCAATAAAAACAACTCACATAAAACAAAAGCATTTTGGGATCCTGGGATCAAGAGATTTGAAAATCATTCTTTTAAGATATACACTGAAACATTTACAGGAGAAATTATACAATGTCTGGGCTTTGCTTAAAAATAATCAAGAGGGCTAGGCACAGTGGTTCACACCTGTAATTCCAACACTTTGAAAGGCTGAGGAGGGAAGACTGTGGCCAGGAGTTCGAGTCCAACTTGGGCAACACGGAGACCCCCGTCTCTACAAAATTTTTTTTTGTTTTGAGACAAAAAAATCACTCTATGGCCCAGGATGGACTGCAGTGGTGCGATCTCAGCTCACTGCAACCTCTGCCTCCCAGGTTCAAGCGATTCTTGTGCCTCAGCCTCCTGAGTAGTT